GAAACCTCTGTTAGTGAAACGGTTACCACGGGGTCTCTGCTCTTTGGAGATATAACCTCTTCAGGATTATTTCAGTAAAAGTTTCGATGTAGTGACTCTTGCAATAATCAGTTCCGCTTATTTGAAGAATTTCGTGGAGAAATTCGACCGCAAAGTTTTAATTTAGCTAATTGGGAAGTTTTGAAACCCTCAACTATGTAACTGTTTCCAAAATGTTACTGCTTCTTAAAGCTGTAAACTCCAGAAAACCTTCCTAGTAAAATGTAGTTGAATGTTATATTTTTGCCATTCGAAAAAGTCTCGTAGCCATGAATAGACTAAACCAGGAGGTCTTCACTTCTAGCAGCCTTAACCAGCAGAAGACCCTGCAAGCTGAAGTTTCTTGCCAAATTATTGGTCGGTCAAGATCCTAAATATCAGTCTACCGGCTCCCAGCCTTCGAAGCCACCCATAAAAGCAGTCATGACAAACTCAGTCGACGTCAAAAGTAACTTTAAGAAGGAGTGGAGTGCATTAGGAGTGCTCTGAGACCGCTCAAGTGGCTATACGTAGAAAATGAATGTAAGCTCAGTATAGCTATACTCGGATCCGTTATATACCCTACTTCCTAGCACTCAACTTCGGAAAATGTATGGTATTAAACACAAGGGGCACTTAACATAGAGATTATTCAATATGGAAGACTGATTATACTAGTAAGATATAGAAGGCTTGACTTAGACACCTAAGAGCTTGAGTGCTCAGAAGGCTCTCAAACTTCACATTGCCGTCCTACGCGCGATGACTCCCTACCCTCAAATAAAATTGAACCACCATTCGGTAATAGAAAGGACCAACGGACTTTCTAGCCAGCCAGTATAACTTAACCTATGCCAAAACTTTTTTTAGATAAACACATCCTGGAATCTTTTTAAATTTCACAACAGCCAATAACGCCCTCAACCTGAAATGCCTAAGTGGATACTGGAGGTCCTCTGTGCCGTTTGAACATTTTCAGTGAAGGTAGAAGGCATGGCTGCCAACTTTTGTTACTGAGCATCTCTCTCTGAGGGTGAAGATGTTCCAACTCGAGAGCTCAGCTAAAACAAGTTCAACAGACTCAATACAGGGGAAATCTAAAATTCTTTTCTACTTTTTCCTAAGTAGGGATGCATGGATGCCAAACGAGCTCTCTACTCGATCACAGCTCTAGCACTGTCGTGACCATAATAAAGGTAGCCCAGAAAACCTAAAAAAATCTCAGCTCTTAAAACTCAAAGCGCCATTCGAAGCACCATTCTAAGCACCATTCAAAGCACAAAACAAGATTGCCAGAAATACCAACCAAACAATAACAGAAAATACCAAAAACCGACATGACAACCAAAAATTTCCAGAAAATCACTGATAAAATTTTATGGTTTCTCACAAATTCCAACGAAAAAACGCATCTGGCAAAATTGAAGCTGATATTATCACGCTTTCAGGTGCTGTAGTGAAGCACAATGAAAAAAAAAAACTATCAAAAAATACCAAAACGAAATAAAAAAAGGAAACAAATGATAAAACTTAAAAAAAAAAATCAAAAATTAAGGCAAAAAATTATTTGAAAAAAGTATGTATGTGTGATTAAATTTTTTTTAATTTCCATATTTTTGTCATTGTTATATTTGCTGCTGATGATCTCGATGTCGCCGCTTACACGTTGGTGGCCTGTCACCGCTTGGTACCCAGCCAGTCATCGATGATAAGATGCAGCAGCGGCCTTTGGACACACACAGACCAAGCAGCTGCGGGTAATAAGCTGAGCGTAGTATTAATGAGCCGCAGCAATGCATAGATATATTGCATATAGACACATACATAGACGTATATGCTTACATACACAATACATATGTAGCCATGCATTTAACATGATATCGTCCAAAGTCGAACGTGTTAATTATTCCCAAAGGATAGAGGGAAGTACTCAATTTTCTGTGTGCGGTTACTTCTTGCTGCTGTTGTTATTGTTATTGAGTGTTTCGTCAAAATTGACAGTAAATTAAATCAATGCAACACACATACATGTAAATACGACAAGCGCCAACATTAGGAGCAACAAAAGAAACAAATGGCTCTAGTGGGAAAATATTGATGGAATTGGGTAAAAAAAATATATTAATTATGTTTTGTTTTGGTATCGATAATTTTATGGTCAATTTAAAATTGAGAATAAATAAATATAAAAACTTCATAAACGAATACTGGACTAGCACAGAAAAGATGTTGCCAGACAAGCAAATAAAAATAAAAAAATTACAATTAATTATAATTAAAATAAACTAAACTAAAAAAATAAAATATTAAAAAAAAAATAAATTAAAATAAAATAAAATAAAATAAACTAAAAAATAAAATATTAAAAAATAAATAAATTAAAAAAAATGATATGAAATAAAATAAAATAAAATAAAATAAAATAATATAAAATAAAATAAAATAAAATAANAATAAAATAAAATAAAATAAAATAAAATAAAATAAAATAAAATAAAATAAAATAAAATAAAATAAAATAAAATAAAATAAAATAAAATAAAATAAAATAAAATAAAATAAAATAAAATAAAATAAAATAAAATAAAATAAAATAAAATAAAATAAAATAAAATAAAATAAAATAAAATAAAATAAAATAAAATAAAATAAAATAAAATAAAATAAAATAAAATAAAATAAAATAAAATAAAATAAAATAAAATAAAATAAAATAAAATAAAATAAAATAAAATAAAATAAAATAAAATAAAATAAAATAAAATAAAATAAAATAAAATAAAATAAAATAAAATAAAATAAAATAAAATAAAATAAAATAAAATAAAATAAAATAAAATAAAATAAAATAAAATAAAATAAAATAAAATAAAATAAAATAAAATAAAATAAAATAAAATAAAATAAAATAAAATAAAATAAAATAAAATAAAATAAAATAAAATAAAATAAAATAAAATAAAATAAAATAAAATAAAATAAAATAAAATAAAATAAAATAAAATAAAATAAAATAAAATAAAATAAAATAAAATAAAATAAAATAAAATAAAATAAAATAAAATAAAATAAAATAAAATAAAATAAAATAAAATAAAATAAAATAAAATAAAATAAAATAAAATAAAATAAAATAAAATAAAATAAAATAAAATAAAATAAAATAAAATAAAATAAAATAAAATAAAATAAAATAAAATAAAATAAAATAAAATAAAATAAAATAAAATAAAATAAAATAAAATAAAATAAAATAAAATAAAATAAAATAAAATAAAATAAAATAAAATAAAATAAAATAAAATAAAATAAAATAAAATAAAATAAAATAAAATAAAATAAAATAAAATAAAATAAAATAAAATAAAATAAAATAAAATAAAATAAAATAAAATAAAATAAAATAAAATAAAATAAAATAAAATAAAATAAAATAAAATAAAATAAAATAAAATAAAATAAAATAAAATAAAATAAAATAAAATAAAATAAAATAAAATAAAATAAAATAAAATAAAATAAAATAAAATAAAATAAAATAAAATAAAATAAAATAAAATAAAATAATATAAAATAAAATTAAATTAAATACAAAAAAAAAATACAATATAAAATTATAATTAAAAATTAAATTAAATTAAAATATAATAAATAAAATAATATCAAAAACAATATTATAAAAAAGATTGAAAGACAAAAAGAAAAATAAGAGAAGAATAAAATAAATTCCATTTATAAAAAAGATTGAAAGACAAAAAGAAAAATAAGAGAAGAATAAAATAAATTCCATGACCGGACCTAGCACATGGAAATGCTATTTGTGGAAGAATTTGGATTTTTCTGTTGACCGGATGCGGTCTATTGAGGATAGTGCTTCTGAAAACACTTGATTTACTCCAAAACTCAAGCAGCTAAATACCGCGCTTGGTCTAAGTATCACATAACATATATGTATCATACGAAGACACATCTGGTAACCCCTTAATAGAATTCACGACAAATGAGCTCGGATGCGAGAGACCGTGTCTACAACTGCGCTAACGGTTAATATACATAGCTTGTCACCAAGTATTGGTCGTTCGTCATTGCTGATATTGATTGGCCATCGAGTTGATAAATCAACACCAACTCGTTGATCTTATTTCCCATTTCGCACTGCCACACGCTTCACTGAGATAAATTGCTGGACAATAAAAAAAGAATACTCGACCTCAGCACATTTCAATCGCAACACTCAAAGTGACAAGTGCGACCGCGGATACTCACTTAAATGCATAAAAATTAAATCGAAATTTGATTCAAAACCGAAAAACCGAAAATGGACTTCTTTGCCGCCGGCGGCTTTCAACAACTCTTCAGTGATTTAAATGACACACAGCTGTATAGCAATTGGACTGACATCAACGCTGAACTAGAAGAGGGAACGACGCTATACGGTTGTAATTATTATACACAAATCCCGTTAGACTCCAATATGCAACTTACCTGCTCAAATGATCCTTTCGTGTATGCCTCGTCTTCAGATGGGCAACGGTTAACGGAGTTACATATTGATTGGGACGAAAGTGGAACGGAGGTAAGTGAAACAGAGCGTAGTGAATGCAGTAAAAGTAATGAGAAGGAACTGCAAAGGACGCTCGATCGGTTGTTAAGCTCGCCAGCTAAAGGCTCACCTGATGTAAGCTCATCAACAGCGAATTCCCGACCTCAAAGCTCGCCAGCCGAAAGCTCAACCACAGTAAATGAAGTGGCAGAAGATTTACCCCTCCATGTCTCGTCAGCGTCTGACCCACCAGCGAATGCAGCTTACCCTGGCAGCTCACCAGCCTTGCTCACACACTGCGATGCAGTCTCTTTAACACAAGCCAACAGCACTGCTGCATGTAAACTCAATAAAAGTTACAACTACAACAACCTCATCACGCAAAACGAATTGGATTCCAGCATTCTGGTAGAGTTCGAGACGGCCGAGTACATTACACGTGAAATGTCCGATTGGGAGGAAAAGTTCTTGGATAATTACATCGAAATAGATGAGCTTATCGACTTTCTACCCGAGAAGACACCACTCTGCACAGAGACCTGTGAGCATTTTCTGATAGAAAGTTCAAAAAACCTCAAACTACATCGCCGTGCAAGAGTACCAAAACGTGTAAGCGCCACCAGCAGCCAAGCGGATCAACCCACCAACGGCTATCCTTGCACCTTCGCCACTTGTGATAAAGTTTATGCGAAACCGGCACATTTAAAAGCCCACATGCGTCGTCATATGGGCGAAAAGCCGTACACCTGCGATTGGCCTGCTTGCACTTGGAAATTTTCACGTTCCGATGAGTTGGCGCGCCATCGGCGTTCACACTCGGGTGTGAAGCCTTATAAATGTAATTATTGTTTGAAGTGTTTCGCCCGCTCCGATCATCTAACGAAACATAGGAAGGTACATGAGCGTCGCCTGCTCGCGGCGAGTAAGGCGGGGAAGGCGATTGATGGCGTCTTACCGCATAGCGTGTTAACCGTGCGGCCGGGTCGCAAGCGTAAGAATCAGTTATAGCACGAGACGGAAATGAGAATGTTTACGAAATTTGCTTGAAATATATTTTTAATACTTTGAATAGTGAAGAGATGTGGTTTTTACTTTGTGGAAAGAAAGATTTAGATAAAAACCCGAGGGAAAAACCAAAACATTTCTTTTTAGTGGAACACTTTTATCCGTGCTTCGACGTTGCTGGTTTCTGACGTCGTACCGACTCCGCATACTTCATTTTGCTATTGTCTCTTTCACTAAAGATCAGTTTTATCATGTGCTTGGGTGTGGGTAAAGGTATACCCGGATCTTGCGCAGAGTTCTTAGCACTCAAAATAATTCCTTCTCTTGCAAACTCGGAGTACCCAAACCAAGTTCGGTCTGCAACCACTTCTACTCAGTGTGCCATTGCTCGCGTAGTGAAGATCTGATAACGACTTGGATGTAAGACTACATAACAAAAGATTGGTTGCCATTTCAGGAATACCAGAGTAGTTGGGAATGCCCAATAGCTCTATCTTTCCATAATTATATTGAAAAAGGTTCAGAAGAGCTTCTAAAGTCTATATGCGAACATATAGAACAGTTACCAGTATCTCAGGCAGCCTCATTGGTGGAGGTCAAACAGGAACTCAAGATTTACTGTAAATATTACAGTTGGAGTCCCATCTCGGCTAAGATTTGGGTAGCACCAGCTGCAATTCAGAGGGATTTTTAAAGATCTATGAACCTCTCACAATGAAATGTTCACCTAGCATCTTTTGAGTTGCTTAACCCATCCGATCGTGGGTAAACAGTAGAACTTTTGTGATTCTTATTAGCCGTTTTCAATACGGTGATGATCATTTTATTCTTTGCCGCTCGAAAAGTTTGAACTTCACGTTGAATAGTAGCTTCTACTAGAGGACTTCTAGGAGGCAGAGCCAGATGAAAAAGAAGTTTTGGGTGCTCAAGCATATATTGGGATAAGAGATGCATGCCGAACAGATTGCAGTTCCTTTGCTGGTGCAAACTTCTCCAGGACTTCAATCAAACGGAAACTCCACAAATGATACCGAGAGAGAGAGAGAGAAAGAGCTATGCAATAGACGACGTCACTTATGCTTGCTTTTTTATCTCTTTCCCCTTTTTCAAAAAGAATAGTTTTCTCTTAAATATGAGCTCTACTCAATATCGGAATTTCGTGCTTCTCCAATAGATAACCTACGACAATGATCCAGAACAACGTCAGTATTCTTCTCTAAACTCGAAGCTGCCTACGTAATCTATTTGCCTACTTTTTGGGAGCTTAATTTAGGTAAGATTGAAGTGGCTAACCCTATGCGTCTCACTTACATCATTATACGTCCATTGTCGCAGTACATACGACCAAGCTCTATTGCTACACTCATCATCTAGTTTGGAAAAGAAAATGTAGCTGTTCTCTTCGCAAATAAGAGAACATTGTGGTTTTCCCGCTTTATCCATTGCTGTTTGAAGGTTCTTCAGTTTTTCAGCGCCAAGTTAGCATAGTCCTTGTCTGCTGAATGCTGGGTACTTACAAATTAGACACTTCACTTAGTTCTCTATTTTTCCTGCAAGTTTCGTCCTTTATCATTTGTCAAAGCAGGCATCGCTCTAAGGCAATGTACCGCTATAGTCCTATTAGCAGCCTGCAGTTGCGACTTTTTTTCGCTAGCAAAAACTTTGTTAGTTGTAAGTTGAGCATCACATTCCTATTAGTCTATCCTCCAGACAAAGCAAGACTACTTCTTGCGCTTGTTTCACTTCGCCGTGTCGGACTACTAAGTACATAATTGCGTCCTGCTCTGAAAAGACACACTACCTAGACTGCTGATCACATTTTCCTTTTTTTGATACCCAGCTGAGTTAGCCGGTCTTTTCTGGGACTTTTTTGTCGCTCTTTATATACTCGTAGTACAACAACACAGTCATGGTATTAAGGTATGTATATATATACATTTCCATTAAAGCCCCTGCAGTAGTTCACCTGCCATTTTGGATGATATCTCTATGTGGTATGAGTTCTTTGGGGACTATAGAGTACGATCAATCTCTGCTGTATTGCAATATTAGGAGAGCAGACCAAACCAACTCCAACCTATCTAGTATCAAAGAACATCGTCGAAGCTCTGTAGAACTAGTCTGATTTCTACTCTGCTATAAACGGCAAAACTAAGTAAGTAGAAGGTATTGGAAACAGCTATCCATAGAACATCTTCTGTGAAATTTTGGGGTTGAATGATAGTATAAGGAACGTATTATGGAATGCTCAAAATTTGGGATCGTCAAATGTTTAACTATTTCTAAAGGAATTTCAATGGATGGTGCAAAGTAGAAGACTCCATTAAAGATTTAAGAAAGCCAATCGCTCAATTTGCAAAACGGCTGTTCCAAGGTATCGAGCACATAATCAGCGGTGGGTTCTCAATGAGAATGATAACAAAAACGAAGCAAACACCAAGTAAAAAAATAAGGTTCCCCGCTACAGCTTTCGTAATTTTCCAAAAAAAAAAAAAACGCACGCTTACGATTTTAGGCGTATAGAGTTCTACAGCACTTACCACACACCAGAACATTTTCAACATCTTCATTTGCCATTATGCACTCTGAGCTGAATAAGTATTTTTTCTTTAATGATTTACAAGTAATAAAAAAATATACAAATTTGCAAACTCTCTCCATCGAAACCTCTGTGGTCGTAGGTAGATGTCGCGCGCATCGACTACAGTAAATCTCAACTTCAACAATTCAAATTAGCTAAATTACTCACTGCAAAGTTGTGGGCGAATTAAATAAATAAACAGCAGATAAATGAAAAAGAAATTCCAACACTTTTTTTTATGTCGCTCATTCAAGCGAAGTCTTTCAATTCTAGGAGTGCACAAAAGACGAACGAGAAGTGTCTGCAAATATTTAACACCACCAACTCGATGAGGTGAATGTCAATAGATTTTCCAGCATTAAAAAGAAAATCCAAAAAATATATAAACCACAATCACAATAATCCACAGCAATCGCCCTCACATTGGCCTCATTCTCCAGTTTTAATAGGTGTACCATATTGACTCGACCCCCATCTCTCTCTCTCTATCTCTCTCTCTCTCTCTCACGAGTACTTCAATTCATTCAATTGGAAATCCATGCAATACAATGGTGGGACGGTTGTGTAATTCGATGTTTGAATGTTCGAATGCTGGAAGGTACGTACCCACCGATGATGATTGAATGAGTGAACAAACGAACGTACGAATGAACCCACGAAGAATGAGTGTGTGCGAATAACTCAATAAGCTATGTGTGGGCATACCAAGAGCTGAAATAAGGTATGGAATGTACACGTAGGGGAATGTATTGAATTGAAATCAAGTGAATTGGAATGTTATAAGAATTGTGAAAAGGCGGAATGTGCTTGTAGGAGTTTGTTTATTTGTGTTTAGCTTTTAGAATAAACTCAACGGATGTTGAACAGTTAAGCGGAAATTAAATAAAACAAACAGCAACGCAACAGGTTGATTTTAAAAAAGATATATTAAGAAGAGAATTTTATTCAAGTGGAGAGCTAAATTAGGTGTGAAAATTCTAGTTCCAAACTAGTGTGCAAGGAACCGGCTCTCGTTTAGTGCACTTTTCGGGGCGACCTGTGCTTTAGTGAGTGAGCGATGGTGAGCGATGGTGAGAGAGAGAGAGAGAGAGAGAGAGAGAGAGAGGGAAAAGGCACAGAATTCTCACCTCGTTTTGCAGAAAACTCTTCGCTTAGTATAGTGAAATTTCAACTTGTTGGCACTAGTATTTTACTAGTATGCTGCTGGTGATTTATAAAAAAATTGTTAAAAGTAAAATAAAACGTAAAAAAGATTGGCATGAAATCTTTATATTTTTTAAACTTTTTTCTATTATTAAAGAAATGCTAGGTGGAGTTTACTGAAAATAAAAGTATCATTAAAAACCGACCTCTGTTAATTTCAAGTTTTTTATGTTTGTATGCTGAAAACTATCACCTCAATCTAGGCAAGGAAGAGCACAGAAAGTTTCCGGCAATTCTTTTTTTTTCGATATTCGCGGCTTGGTTCATCCCGAGTTCGTTCCAATGGGACAAGCGATCAATAAAGAATATTATTTGAGTGTTTTGCGGCAAACACATCCGTTGTAAGCGGCCGAAATATTGGGCCAAAAATTTAACGATTTTTCATAACGATTATGCACCATCGCACCAAGCTATCGTTCAGAAATGATTGTAAGACCAACACTCATTCCATACTATCGATCAACCACCGTATTCTCTGATTTGGCCCCATTCGACTATTTTTGTTTCCAAAACTCAAGTTACCACTCCGTCAAACCCATTTTGTCTCTATTGAGGCCGTAAAAGAAAACTCGCAGAGGAAAGTGAGTGCGACTGATTTCAATAGCTGCAAATAAACAGCTTGACAGATAAATTATATGGCATGTGACAGTGCTACCAACTTAATAGAAAAAAGTGTCGAAAAATATTCAGTACGACCAGTTTAAATGACAATTTTTGCAAACTCTCTGGTCTTAATGTACTACGAGTTGCGTCGTTCACTAAGTTGAGTCATATCATATTAGCAGAAGGGTCACGCCTCCTTTAGGTCACCCAAAAGCAGTGGTTAAAGTCTGTGATGAAATCAAGGAATGTAGTGAGATGATAGGAGAATGAGAATGCCTGAAATGGCTCTGACTAGGCTGTTAACATTATAACTGTGTGAGTATACATTTACTCCCACTCGACCACAAGCTGTACCGTAAGGAATACACCCCCAATTCGAAAGAACACTCCGGAATATGGCTTTCCTCAGTTGAACGTGTACCAATGAAGGGCCAAATTAGTTTATCGGCCAGATTTACATACTGATTCCCTTGAAAATATTTAAAAAGTGCAAAATAGGCATTGGAAAACATTATAAGGAAGTAACGGATAGATTCGAAATTGTCTTGAAGCAGAAATTACTACATTTGGCTTAGGAAAAATTGCTGTATCGTCATAGCAAGGTAAGGAGACCCAC